GTCTTATTTCGATAAAGATGACATTTCTCAACCCTTCTGTGAACATTTGAGTTTTGAGCGCAAAATTTAAGATGGAGGATGATAACAGGTAAGGGAATGTTCTCACATATCTCTGGTTTGATTATCCTCAAATTTCATAATGGCATAATCTTAAATTTGCGCTCAAAACTCAAATGTTCACAGAAGGGTTGAGAAATGTCATCTTTATCGAAATAAGACTGAATTGTATTTACTTTCTATTTCTTTGGAAGGTTGAAATGAGCAAAATAAGAAACGGTAACTTCATTTAAGTTGCCGTTTCTTATTTTGCTTATTGGTCCTCAGAAAATCTAATTAAGCATTTTAGCTAGTGGCCTGTAAATCATGTTAAAGAAGCTAAATTTGCTCTAGCATCATTATTTGATAATGTTGTAGACGAAATATACTGAACCTCTAACACGCTACAATATACATTTTAAGGCACTGGAGTCTTTTATTTTTATTCACAGTTATGAAGACAGTTTACCACTAAAAAAGGAAGTGAAGTTATTATAAATCAATACTCATTCAAATACGTCATTTGTAGTATCAGTAAGCTAAAGCTTAGGAAATAAAAAGAAGTCGATTTAAACGAGTAGGAAATATTAGACAATGTCGTGCGATTGAGTAGGATTTAAAAAGTAACACGCATTAATTTGATGTGCTTGTTTGAAGATTTTTTGCGAACTTAAATACGCATCATTTTTAGGTACAAATATATTGATATGGGTGTCAACAGTCTGTCTTTAATAGTCATGATTATTTCTTACGCAGTAATTATTTATAAAGTGCGAAAAAGTAGCCAAGCAATAGCCAAGCATCAATTAATGGTGTGTAATTTAATTATTGAACCTAATTCTTTAATTTAAAAAACAAAAAAATACCTAACAAGCCTCACTATTGCAATGCATTTGATTATACACACATCAGAAAACTGGAATAAAATACTTTTTCTCGTTATTTGAGTATCTGGCTTTAAAATTCCCTGCAGAACATTTTTAAAATTTTCAGTTCGAATTTTATTTGAATTGAAAATTAGATTGCTACTAGCTTGCCTTCCTTTTGTTTGCAGATAAAAGATACTCGATCAGAAAATGGTAACGACTCATACTTGAAATCGAGCAGTTTTAGGACAACACGTGGACAAATCAGTAAAAAAGAGATGAGACTTTTCATACAAGTGAGCAAATTAAATTTGTTTCGTTCTGAATTTGATATTACCAGCTGTTTTTGTTACATTATCGTTATTTTAGGTTTTAATGCTGTTTTAACTTCAAGTTTTGATGAAAGTTTTAGTTTTTTCTGGTTTCATTGGTTTTTCTATTAACTTGGACAACATGGCAGTGGCTTCCTCATATATCTGAATCAAAATGGGCCTACTTTATTATGACTTCGCTGTTTTTCATAAATAACTCCATCAATCCGACAGTATATTTACTTTTCAATACTCAGGTTTTTTTCTTAAGTTTTTTTAAACTAAACAATTAAAAACGAGCTTTATTTAAAAATAAATCGTTAGTAGTAAGCAAGCTGAGCTATATACTACGAATATTTTTGCAAACTTTATGAATATTTTACTTGCAGTTACGGCATGAAGTAGGTCGTTTGTTATGCAGTTCAAATGCGAAAACAATTCCACCAACACATCGTCGATATATGTTAACGTCCAATAAATTGCTCAAATACACAGCTAAAAACCAATCGACAGGAAACAGTGATAGTAGCAGTCAACATGATGGGCACTACGAAGCCTCAACAACACAGACTGGACATGACTTGCCAGCAACCAAAACATCCGACGCTGCTGATACAAATAAAGTTATGGTAAATTCAGCGATAGCGTCAATGACCATGACAATGGCGAGTAATGCTGCCACAGTAGATAATGACATAACTAGTATAGTGATAACAATTGCATAGAAAAAACCGCATCGACAGTTGCTTGTTAATAACATCACTAAAAATAATACATGAATTGTTTAATTTAACAATTACTCTGTTTTTATTCAAGTGCTAAAATATATAAATTTAGCTTTCCAGTGCATTCTGTTTATTAAGATATCGAAAGAGAAACACAGCATAATCTCCATTTACGTTATGTAAAATTTTCCATTTAGCTTCATTATTTTTTAATTTCTCTTCAGAACGAATTTTAGAACTGGATAGTACATCCCATAATGGATAGAAAAATAGGCTTCAAACAATGATCACACCGTTACAAGATGTAAATTCGCTTCACTCTTTTAGATATGTCGAAATAAAATATTTAAAAAATTTTCCACATAGTCCACTTTTGGTTTATTACCTTAAGCTATTTGCATGTAATCTTTTAATATGCGGTTTTCTTACTACACTATCATCTAGAAAGGACAGAAATTTCCGAAAAAATGCACAAATACACAAGAAGGATGTGCAACATGGAGATTGCTAGGCTTAATATTTGGGTGAGAAGTTACAAAAAAAACTTTGTCCACACAAAGGAATTCTATCGCGACAGGAAGAGGAAGTTTGTAATAAGGTTTTACAGTGAACTAAACCTGGCTGTCACTTCTGCTTTATACGGATCTGGTACATTCTGTATACTTTTCGGGTGCTACTGCTCAACACATACTCGAAAACAATACTTACTCTGGCACAAAAAGAAGAAAATTGCAGTCATTTAAATTATAAGAATGATTTTACGGAAAAGTGTGAATCGTATGCTTCATCTTTCGTAAAATACAAATTACATAATGTGTTACAGCAGACTGTCGGTTTGAAGAAAAAAATATTGGGAAATTGTTTTCTAATCATACCAATTAGATCTTCATACCAATATTGAATCTTCGTACCAATATTGATTTATCTTATACTTAATGATGAAAATATTCATTTACAATTATTTCTCAGCTTGAATTAGCTTTCTACTAAAGTTTTAAATCTGATATAATATTGGATATTAGTGAATTAGTTTTCATAACAATCATCCATTCAACCACGTCCATTTTCTCGTGAGTTTCCAGATCCAGTTGTATTTTCACTTCACTGCCTGTCAAGTATTTTGGAACCAAGTCTACTTTTAAAGATTTAAAATGGCGTCTTAATGTTGGGACATGACTGAGGGCGGTACAACTAGTTATTGTGGCGAGTCTACGACAGAAGTTGTGTGATGAACGTGTGTGATGAAGTGTGTCATTTGAACCGGATAGCGCGATCCAAGAAAACTAATCATGTAAACTTACATGAATTTTAATGTTCGATAATTAAGAATGCCTAAATTTTTCGATTATTCACCTAAGAAACGTTTTATAAAGCTGCTTAAATTTGTCACTTAAACTCAAGTTTTGACTTGCAATTTGACAATATTGCCTGTGCATCGATAACATTAGATATATTATTGTTCGATGTTATGTTTCCAATCGTCTACATCTTTATCCTCTTAACTTCAAGTGTTTCTATAGCTGGGAAAGATTTATAAGTTTTTGTCGTTCACTTCAGATGTGAAGGCCTTTGACACTGAAATAGCATTTGTCCGTTTTATGTCGAGAATAGGTGTGTTTGTGCAGTTTTTTATTCCATTCTTGGGTTGAAAGCTTGTGATTCTTTTTAATCATTCCGTTTGGATGATCTAGAATTGATTTCATTTTAATTGTTTTGTTTTTATACAGAATATATTATGGAAAACACTGTTTTCCATAACTACCGTTTGCCACTAGGCTAGATGAGAGCTAGGATTATGCTGTTCTATTTTGAGGAGATGTTAATTTGCACTTTACTTAGTGGCTATCTTCTACTTCCTTCATTTTTTTTTTTGCTTAAAAGTTATAGGTCAGCGTACTCTGTGAAGAAGTATGGTGGCAGTAAGTTGAACGTAATATTAGCGAGATAAGCAGACATTGAGTTGCTGTAAGTTGACAAGTTTTTGAAAAGTAGGAATTGTTTCAAGGTAGGCTATAAAAATGATCTTACAAGTCCAGGAGATTCGCAAGCCCGGTAGGTACTTTTTTTGAAAAGGTAGACAGGAGAAAAGTTCTTGATTCTTTTCAGTAAAGTTGATTTAAAAAAGTAGTGATTCTTTGTGTAGTATGACAGTCTATGTCGCTGTTGCAGCAATAGTCAAACATCATCGTTGAATTCATTAATTCTTCACCCATTTTCGTTTGCGGCCAAGAAAATGGCTGAGAACACTTTTTGTGGAAAGAACCATTTTTTGCTTCTTTTGTGACTATTTTTTCGTGAAAAGAACCATTTTTTTGGTTTTCTTGCGGCATTTTTTTGTGAAAAAAAAATGGGAAAAATTGGTGAATTCAACGAGGATGTTTAACTATTGTTACAACAGCGACATTGATTATGATACTGTACAAACGGTTGCTATCCGTAGAACAACTTTATATTTTGAATTTATTGATTTTTTTATCTTTTATCAACTTTATAAAAAATCAGGAACAACTTTTCTCTTGTCTCCCTTTTCAACAAAGAAAGTACCTACTAGGCTTGCGAATTTCCTGAGTTATAAGATCATTTTTATAGCCTACCTTGAAATAATTCCTACTTTTCAAAAACGTGTCAACTTTCAGCAACTCAATGTCTGCTCATCTACGTTCAACTTACTGCCACTATACTTCTTCACAGAGTACGCTAACTTACAACTTTTAAGCAAAAAAAATGAAGGAAATGGAAAATAGCCATTAAGTAAACCGAGTGCAAATTAACATCTCCTCAAAAAAGAACTGCATAATCTTAGCCCTCATCTAGCCTAGTGGCAAGCGGTAGTTATGGAAAACACTATTAACGTATTTTGTACAAAAAACAAAATAATTAAAATAAAATCAATACTAGACCATCTAAACGGAATGATTAATTAGGAAACAACGAAGTATTGGTTACTATGGTTCATATGAGGGCTATGATGAATGAAGTTAAGAAGTAGGATCATATTGTTGAGAATAAGAAGCGGTAGGAGTACATGATAATGATGAATGATAATTTTTTTTCAAAATGAAATATAAAAAAAAATTTTCTATACAGTCCATCTCTTGTTTATTGCCTTATGCTATCTACATGTGGCCTTTTGACATGTTTTTCTTTTAATACATTGTTATTTCGTTCAGAAAGAACTAAAAATTTTGAATTAAAGATTTGCTTGCCTTCCTAAAATACGTTTGAGAATGTTACCTATGGGTATTCTAAATTTTTGTAAGCATAGTAATACATTTAAGGAATTTGCAGAAACCTTTTTTCAATGGTATAATTCTCAGTTTTTATTCCAAAGAACTTACGTTATTTTCCAAAACTTCAAGATTTTTTCAATTTTGCCAACATTTACTAGATACAGATTTTCTAATATCAGCTATAGTCGAAAAATATTTTCTTCATTTTAGTAATTCACATTGTAAAAATTATTACCCAATACACATGTTCGATCGAGCTTGTCCACTACAGTTAATTATGCCTATAGCAAAAGATAGGAGTGAGCAATTCATTTAACATGCCTTTCTATTGTATTTATTCTATTCAATAATTCGGAGTCTCGAAATTTTTATCAAAAAATTTGAACTCGAAAACACTAAAAAGAAATGAAATATAATCCGCAATCTTCATCCTCCGGCAGTGACAAAGTAAACTGCAATCCTGATTTTGCCCACCAAAATATAATATGTGCTCCTGTTGACAATACACCATTTCCATCAAATAAAATCAAATAATGGAAAACAGAAACCGTATTTTTTAGGTGTCACACGGGTCTATCATCAAAAATTCTGCTAACATAGCTTGTACATTTCTTATCATTGCACTGATTAATGACCCCAACCAGTGGTTTCTTTCTCGTGTGTACTTTGATCACTTTTTAACTTGATTTTCACTTTTTTCCTGCATAGCAGAGGAATAAAATTAATGAGAAAGGGTGAAAGGAACCGCACTGATCATAATAAAAGTTAAACAATTCATTTCAATTACATATCATTTTACTGATCCCAACCATGCATTATTTAATTCACCATATGTCCATTATATCACTGACATATTTGAAAGTTCCGAATTACAAATCACAAGTCTGAATGTCAATCAAATTCTACAGCCTCAGACACTTAAGGTTATTCAAAATCTTTTATTGAGAAATCGAGATATTGAAATGAATCTTTAAATTTTCATCTTGCGATAAGACAACATTAAGAATTCAGTGATAATAGTACACTGTGCACATGACTCATTTTATTGGTGACTTATTTTTGAAGATGCTAAGTAGTTCTAGCCCTTTATTCCAAATATTCTGCTTAAAAAACATCGGAGCATCTTTTTGATTTAAAATCATCGGGAACTGTTGGCTTTCTACATTCAATCAGTTGTTAAGCAAAAAATCATTGAGTCGAGTATGTGAATTACAATTCAAATTTATTAGAAAAAAATAAACCATAATAAGGCTGGAGCCTGTTGCCAACCCTTTTATACTTATTATTTATTAAGTATAAATTAAGTATAAAGGATGTTGTCATCCTTTATACTTAATTTTTAACCGAAAATTTCAATTTATTCGATTAGTCTGCCAGTAATTTAATAAATAATGTAGCAGTAAAAGTAACAAAACAGACAAATGAGTTAGAATCTATTCACCGATTATCATTCGGCCATCTTCTAAAATAAATCAATAAATCAACGATATCAAAAGGTACTAAAGGGAACTTACAATAATGAAGAAATGGAGAATGAAATTTCGTAACTCTTACGAAGGAAATTAAATGCTAGTCAGCCAATATTATATATTTCAAAAAAAAAATAAAGTTATTTTACAACAAAATTTCATAAAAAGCCTGTAAAAGATATCAAATAAAAAAACGTTAAAAAGAGACATAGAAGAACACGGATGGTTCCAAACTAGGAATAATCGAATCGACAATAAGAAGTGAAGACTGTTATGCTGATCTAAAGATTTGCGAAACTTAATAATATTCAAATTGCGTAAGTGCCAAAAAAATATTCGATAATATCTGCATCTCACATCTTTCATTTCATTACAATATTCTCTTTGTGTACAGTTAACAAATTAATACATCGGAAACAAGTTAAACTACGCACATCAAGATTCAAAACATAAAAATAAAATTAAAATGCTATAACCGAAATAAACAAAAAGCATTAACAATGTACAACTTTTGCTACTTCAATATTCTTTTATATTGCTACATGGACCTCCAAGATGTTTCTTGCAATACCAGATTCAAAGTAAAGTATATTTCCCAAATCTCATTTCGCACAATCGGTTTAGTCACAGATGAAACTGATAAATAAAATAAAAGAAATTTTAAAACAATAAAGATTGTTCTGATGAATGCTTGAGGATTTTCTTTCTAACCAAATAGAAAATAAATGACTTCTGTTTCGGACAGTTCAAAAATTGAGCCTAGTTTGTGCCAGTTTGATTTATTTCTCGAAAGGTCATTTTCTTCTGCAATTGAATGAACAAATTCGTCGTAATCCTACAGGAGCTCATCCAATCCTATTCGAAGTCTTACAAAGATGATCCCGTATGTAATATACCTGATTACTGAATTTTACTGACTTAATTTAGCTATTTTGCTTCAAAATTTTGTCTTTGTCAAAGTATATTTATTAATATCAGAGCTGAACGTTTGAGAGAAATTTGACAGTATCCATGGGTAATATGAAATATAAACGAATTACATGATAGGTTAGATGGCAATCGGTTCGACATTGCCATAGCTATCGTTGGTGATTCTGTAGCATACTTCGAATGCTTGTCCCAATGTTATTATTATTTCAGTTGCTACATCCTACAAAGAAACTATCCGTACAATTTCACATAGTTAACGAAATACTGATTTCTTTATATATAACATCTTTAAACCTTAATTTTCGATAAAATCGCTAAATTTTGAGATCAAGGCATTTCAAACTCATGAAATATGTTCCACTAAAGTTCTACATAAGATCAAAAACTGTCACAACTTACAGCAGTCAAGACGCAAAATACATGACAGAAATGGCGATCTCCATCTTGCGATATATAAGCGAAACAATTCAGATCTCTTTCATCTTGACAGACTATCTGAATCTGTGCTATTTCATGCTCAACAGTGAGTTGCTGAAAGCGTAATATAATAGAACTAATTATGAAAATGTCATTTTAAACTAACTTATCAGTTTTCCGTTTTAGGAGAACCATTGATAAATCCATAAATAAACTATCAAAACCTTTGTGATAGCATCAAGTACTCGAACACCCGTTACTGAGATTTCCAATAAAACATGAGGAACTTTAGCTATTTCGCGAATACCTCTCTAAAAAAATATGTTAAAATAAAAATGGCTGAATGAAAATGAGAATAAAATTTCTCTTTTACACTCAAGAAAATACATAATGTGAGAAACTGTTAACAGAGTATCATACTTTCAATTTGATCATAGCTCTTCGAGAATCCTCTGTCTCTTCAACATTTGATATTTCCATTGACCCAAGATAATGAGCTGAATACGAGATGCAACTTTCAATAAGTGTATTAGATGAATGTTGCCATTCAGTTCGACGTCCTCCAACAATCACTGAATGCGGTATTTGGGCACTTGATGATGACTGCACCGTACTTCTAAACTTCCACAATTAAATTCATTGAATTGTTTTTACAAAAAAGTTTTTTACAAAAAAACTTCAAATTGAATTTAGCATATTTTTTGTAAAATGAGAAAAATAAGGTTCCATAAATTTTTTTTCAGAAAGCTATAAAGTTCAAAATGAACCACCTGCTCTCCTGTCCACTATCCGCTTCTTCTTCCTGCACTGCCGCTGCTCGCTCTGCCGCCCTTTGACGTCGCTCTTCCTTTGCTTTCTTCAAAGAATTTAAAATTCGCTTTTGATGGCCAAGTTTTGTGATACCAAGAATCTGAAAATATGTGCTACGAAGAAGGCAAAGCGAAGCATAAATCTAAGATCAGCAAGCCACTTACTTTCAAATGTTTCTGCGTTGAATCGACTGCAAAAACAATCAGCATCGATGTCAATCCTCCACTTACAAAATGACCAAGATAATCTTCCAATTCTAATGAATGCAACCAATCCGAAACATATGTAAATGAATCTGAAGAAAATTTAAATAATTAAAATTAACAAACTCAAGAATTACCGTTTCTTCGAGGATAAATTTAACGATGAATGATTTTAGAAATTTAAAACTAACTTGCGCTTGGGATGTAAATGTTCGGGTAATTTTCTAGATACATTCCGATTTGGTGTTGTGTTGACTTATCAAACCCGATTTCTTGCATAGAAGCACGATCGAGTGTTGACTGCTGCAAATAACAATAGTAATGCAAATTGTGGAATATCATGGGAAATTTTTTGTTTCCAAAAACGAGTTATTTAAATACAATATTTACCTTACTTCCCAAAGCAAGAACACATACCATATGGTCGACACTGTCAAAGCCATTGCTTTCGAGAATTTCGGCTATTTCATTTGCTCTGGGATAAGGTATCCCAACACACACATTTAACCATTCAGCGACAGCCTTTACCCCTCGCTGCAAAAAAAAAAATGCAGTTTAAGATAGCAAGAGTTAGAATGAGATAAGCCTCTTTCAAAAACTTGAAATTTATTGAAAATGAACTCAATTAAAGAAGCCTATACTGTTTCGGTATGATAGAAGATAGTGTGACACCGTTTTCGATCGGATGTTTTCAGACGACATACTCTTGAGTTGAATTACATAAGTATCTTATTTAAAGCGCCTGTCGAGTACAAACTCGAAATTCCATCCAAAACTCTCAAAATTAATCTCTAAATAAAAACAGTTATATCTTTAAATAAATAAAATGATGCTCGTCGATGCTCATGAAAACTCCTTAATGAATCATTACTTGTAATCAGTATAAACGAATCTTTCAATGTGTCCTGAAGGCAACACTTTCCCATCATAAAAACCGTTTTTATATCTGCTGTTGTCTTAGATGTTTCCTTTTTTCTTCCAATGGGCTAATTTAACTATATGATTAATCTTGTATTGCTTACAAATTCTTTATAAAAAACTATTAGTTCTCATCGTAATCTCGATCCCAACCGAATTGTAACCTAACACCTCCCAATAATCAGTCTTTAAAAGGCGCTATTATCGTGTATCAAGGAGCTCCTCATTTGGCTGATCTTAACTCTGCCTCAGTTCGTTCCGACTGGATATTATTCACTCTTTTGGTTTATAACGTTGAAAGGGAAACCCATTCCAGCGCATCAAATCCAAAATTCCGAACCAATTCTAACCAACCAAACCCGAGACAATCTCAAAAATCTGCAACAGCGCCGCTACAACTTTAACCGATTCTTAAGAAATAGAATCCTGAGAATGAATTTTGTCAACTAATCAGATGTTAACTTTCCATAATTCTAAAGTCAAAATAAGACAACTATATAAGTAGTTTTCCCATAGTTTAAATAGTGATAACTGACTATTCGGAATCAGTGATCAGTACTGACCGGTTGCTTATATTTTTTGTCAGCATCAAATCCAAATGACTGTCTATTTTGCACTGCCAATGGCCCATTTAACTGCAATGTTAATGCTTGCGATCTCCGGTCTCTGAGGTAAACGGCCACTTTTGGTTCATAATGAGCTGTAAACACCGATTCCCGACAAATTGCGCCACCAAATGACTCCATTATTTCACCGATCTGATAAAATATTTTTCGACACATTCATAACTAACTGTTTTTATTTTTTCAGTAATTTTTCGGAAATCCACACATTAAAGGACGGAACTTTATTGCGACAGTTGAAATTATATTTGAAAAATCCACCTTCTTCCATTCGATACTTTCATCTAAGGAACTATGCCGAGTCGAAACTTGCATACTGCTGTTCAGTTCGTCCCCATGTTGTTCGCCATCGCTCGAGATGGATAGTTCATATACCTCTGCAAAAAAAGACTCAAGGAAAGGAAGAGAAGCAAAGATGTTTTTGATGTCTGCATTCATCGACTTCATCCTGCAGTTTTGTTAAGAACACAATTTTTAATCATAAATGCTCGCTCACCCTTACTTATGCTACCATGTGCTGGAATGGAAGACGCAGTTCGTAAGCGTACCTCCACAGAAGAAAATGATTGATCATCCGTGCTGGAACAGTTTAAATTACGTAAACATGTCGGTTTTAGTGTTAGAAAAAATTCGTCTGAAAATGAAATTTCACCTGGATTGCTGTTTGCAAAACTGACTGCGTTCCTCCGGCGGAGAGATTATTGATGGTGGTGTCGAAGAGACATGAGAGATTATCGGCAGGGAACATGAAGACGCTAAAGTGCAGTCTGATCCCACTGAAATCCAGACTTATTTTGCTTTGGTAAAATGAATAATGAAAATTACTAATATGATAAGCTTCATTAAAAAGCATAGTAACCTCTTGATGACGGTGATATTGTGTCCTTTTGAGTATGCTGTGATCTTTTGCTTACAGTAGGAGATTGCGACAGCTGCTGTTTAACGTTATTCTAAAACGGAAAGTATTTTCAACTTGAAAAATATTAAAGCCTACAAATTCATACAAAACAAACTTCGTTACAAAAATATTTCAAACCTGACTGCAAAGGAAATGATGAATGCGAGATTCGGTAGTTTCTGGACTTGGAAGATGATCAAGTTCAGACTGGCCATTATCAGTGTTTGCCTCCCTTTCATTTCCTGCTGTTATGATTTCTACGCAATTCGCCATTGCAGTCTAAAATGATTTCGTGCTGGCGTAAAAAAAGAAATTGAAAAAAAAAAAGAAAATTGCAATGTAGATTTTGAGAAAGATACCGCATTAAACAATTACTCTCACCAAACAATTTGAATTAAGAGTAGCTACCACAGAACTACGATCTGGTACAGAATAATCGTCAGTCAAGATGCGTGAATGTCTTGTCCACTTACTCTAAAATGAGATTTATTTTATAATCTTGACCAGGTATTTACATCTGCTATTGCTTTGCAGAAGATGAATGTCAATAGATCAAAAAAAAAACTTTCCAATGTCATTCACTCTAGACAATCGATGAGACAGTCTTGCAAGTATTAAGTTTTGAATGGGTGCAACTGTATTCTTGAGCTTACCTCTTCCATAGGATACCTTTCTAGAGAATTTTGTATTGACAGAATGCTGGCTGAAGCTGACATAGAAACCTCTTCAGGAAGTGCTAATGGCGCCCGGCCTTGAGTTAAAGAAGCTGTTCCGGATGGAACACTGCTGCTTTGTTCCCCAGGAGATAATGCTAAAAATTATGTAGAATGGTACAAATAAGATTTACATATAGCACTTTTGATGATTAGAAAAGTCAATAAAATAATCTAATTCTATTCCAACTAATCATAACCTTAAAAATAAAAAGTTATCCTTAGATTGTAAAAAAAACATACAACGCTCAAGAGTTGAGCAAGCAAAAGTGATGATGGATGCTGGGCTTTCTGTTCGATGTGAAGAAGAGCTTGGTGGGCTATACTTAACAAAAGGACCATTGTTCTTATTTGCACTAGCTTCATGCGTTTTAGTTTTCCGAGGAGTCGGTTCAGGTTTCAATGTTTTTTCTAACAGGGGCAAATGTTGACGGCTAGGTTTCACTAAAAATAAGTAAATGAAAATTCAAAAAATCTAAAAGATTCTAGTATACTTCAAGTCTAATTCGAGGTAAATTCAAAAATGTGAACTTTTGAAACTAACTACATATCAATAGCGACATTATTAAATATGTGATTTCTTACCAGGCGGTATAGTTTGTGTACCACCATTTCTAACACTGCAAGAGGGTGTGCCACCATTTTCACAGCTAGCCTCGCAGGAATGGTGCCAACGTCGATGCCCTGAAAACAGATTTTAGTATTAATCTTTCAATGTCTACTAAATCAGTAAAGGACGCACTTTCGTTTCTTAAAGAAAAATCACAGGTAGTGTGTAGAGAAGGTATAAAAAATTGTTACATATCTACTGTTACAGTTAAATTTTTTGCTTTGGAAAATTTGTGAAGTACGAGAAAAAATCCAAGTCAATGAAAACTTATCAGGTGGTGGAGCGTTATCGTATACAACAAGATTGCGTGGCACATTGTCATAGGTCAGAAGAGAATATGGTGGACTTATCACATCGTTATGTGTATCAGCATGCTGAAATCGCCAAGCATCGTATGACAATGGAGCCTGATATGAACACGCTATTGCTGAATCTGAATAAAATATTTTTTTTTAGAAACTACAGAAGCAAAAAAAAATCCTACTCAAGCAGAATACAAAAAGAGTAGAAAAAATGCTGAGATCTTCAACAAAAACTGATCAGCTGAGAGAGCTACATTTAAATTAGTTTTTCATACAATTTTTTTATAAAATTCATTCCTTCATGTGTGAGAAAAACCTGTTATTTTTTATCTCAAAATTTTTTTAAGTTATAGTTTTCTAACTGCTAATAACAAAATAGCTTCTATACCTGAATTAAGTGATGTTCGACCAACTCCCATTCTCGGTAAAGGAATTCCATTTCTCTGAAGTGTATGTCGATACCTATGACTCGGTAATACGATAGCAAACCGAGATACTTTATTATCTACACTAAAACCTTCAGCTTGATCTGGTGATTGTTGTGAACTAAAATACACCAGTGCAGAATAAAACAACCAAGTACACAAGCATCATATAATGCGAATTTATAGGAAAAAAAACAAACAATCCGAACAAAAATATTTCAAGCTTTACCCAGACTCGCTCCCAGATGACTCTACGCGAGTGGCTGACAAAGATAGAGTTGAAATATTATTCAGATCATGTTCATCATTAACTAATGAAATCACATCAGCCTGAAAAGAATTTTAAACTTTTGAATAAGTGCAAAAAGTTTTAGAATTGCTAGTATAAAATGAAATACCGCTATCGATGGTGGTGAATGACAAGTGCCAACGTCCGAAGTGGTATCAATTTCATAAGTTAAGCTGTGCTGCATGTGATTTCGAGATGCTTGAAGTCTAGCTGAAGCAGAGAAATTTCTTGGAAAAAGATAATGACTTTTGAAAAAATTATCTGCTATTTCCACTTTATTTCTAAGCACCTTTAAGTACCTGTGGATAATTCCGGTATCGGTTTCCAGATAACATCTTTCGGATTAGCGCCATATTTCGAACGGAAAGGTAAATTCAAATAAATCGAATGATTCTTTGCACTGGTTTTGTCACTTTGACGATCCTTATATTTTTGTATGTAAGCTATAAAATACCAACAATCAATACATGTTAAAATTGATAAATCTCAGGAGACCCATCTAGACAATACAGAACCAAAAAAAAACCTTCAATAAGCTTCCGACATTCTGACCATCCTTCTCGGCTCTGTATCACCTGTGTAAGATCTGAAGCTTTTTCGTTTTCATGCTCTGTCAAAGTTTCTAACACAGTACGCCCTTGCCCATCACGAGTATCAACACTGATGCCTGCAACCAGAAAAAATATAAAATAAGTAAATATGTTAATATATTGTACAAAAAACAACAGGGAAACCAGAATTATTCCCATCCAGAAACTTTCAAACAAAAGAAGGGAACAATCCACATATGATCAACCTTGTTCAAGCAGTAACTTAACAGCTTCAACTTTTCCAAATAATGCTGCGACATGTAATGCACTGCCTTCTTCGGTAACATAGTCAAGATCGAAACCGGAATGACATAATATTTGGAGACAGTCAATGTGACCATGACGAGCAGCTGCGTGTAATGGATATACCACTTGGGCTAAGTGTCGCGACCTTCCTGGATCTGTGGTAATGCACTCTGATGCACTCTAAACAGAGTTATTTAAAAACAATGCAAAATATGTTAGTCAACCGAAGTTATGATATTAATAACCAAACCTGCAGTGCTAATTCCGGACAATTACAGATAAGTAAACGACACACATTAGCTTTTCCAAGTCGTGCAGCTACATCTAAAGCTGTTTCAGCACGTGCATTCCTCATCCTGGCGTCTGCATGTTTCTGCAAGCTATCTTTATGATACGAGATTTTATTCTAGTTAGTTTTTAAATGGCAAGTGTTTTGGTTCGGAACTGGTAGGTTTACTGTCCTACAATTCTTCTTCAGTTCAGATCAATGAATTTCAAATTAAAACATTACAGCAAGCAAAACAGTGACAACTTTTCCGTGACCATGTTGTGCGGAAAGATGTAGAGGCGATTCTTTAGCGTTGTTTACTGCATCAACTGTATTTGGCTCAGCATTAATTAAAGTCTGGAACATATGTAAATAAGAGACATCTGGATTTAAATTTTACACGACTAATATAGATTCAAAATCCCAAAATATGCTTAACAGGCTGTTTTTCCATTATGATAATTACCTGTATAACCTCAACATGTCCATTCCATGCTGCTAAATGTATTGGCAGACATCCTCGCCGATCTTTTATTCGTGCCATTTGTGAATCAACATTCAACAAAATTTTGACTACCTTAAAAAAATTAAATTTGCAAAAAACGTGATTGTAATGAATTACAATAAAGCCTTAGATACAGGAAGTTAAAAGACGGATAGTTGTTGTACCTCCTTATGGCCCAGTAAAGCAGCAAGATGTAACACTGTATAACCGTTTGATGGATCTACTATCGAACATAGCCATGCTGAATGTGATGTCGATGCACGCAAAAAGCTATAATATTTTGGAGGAGTTATTACCATGTTGAAACCTTTTACTTCGGAACTTTTCCTTTACAAAGTACTCCATTCGATCCTATCGAATCGGTTATAAAACTCTCAACTATATTACAAAGTTTTCATTAAATTTAACATTTGGGGATCTGTTTTAAAATATTGAAAAAAAGATGAAAATTTACTTCAGTGGTGTCCGTGGCCGCTTGCTGCGTCTGCTTAATAGCCATGTCTGCACCTTCTGAGCATCTCCCCGTCTCACCGCTTCAAAAAGTTCCTATAAACAGTTTCCCAATCAGAAATAATAACACACATATAAACCACAACATTGTGCGTTTCTCTATATTTGAATATCAGGATGGATTACAGTGCATATCATATTATTATATTATATTATAAATCTTTCCAAGTTTCGTAAAAAAGCAGTTCATCTGCTCACACAGTTCTTTTATCATATTTTTTTTAATAAAAAAGAACTTACTTGTTGAATAGAATTAAGTTCTTTTGGTCCCATTGTTCATGACGACGATAAAGCTCCGCGAATTTAACAAAAATATTTTTATGACTTAGCCTGCTACAAGATCACGTCATCGTGTGTAGTAATGTTGCCATTCATAAAATGCAAATTTTAAAAAAGTATAAAGCACAGAAAATTTGTTAGGATTTCACAACGTATCTGCCAGCTTTAATTTACAATAAGTTAATATTTACAGTTGGAAAACATAATTTCATTAATCTATTAACAGCTAATTCTGTCAATAAATCGCAAACACACATTTAACTTGTCACTAAAGCTCCCTATCATTTCTTTTACACATCTTGTAGAAGCTCTGGCAGTATATTAAATTGCTTTATAACCAAATTCAAAAAAAGCGGAAAATTAGATCAAAAAACAAGCATGAACTTTTTGACAGAACTCTTGGTAGTCTCTCTCGATCTCATAAACATGAAAGGAATACAATCCAAGAAACGAATGAATTTTAAAAGGATAAAATAAAAAGCAATTTTAGATTAAATAGAAATTATGTAGGAAAATAATACTTGAAAAAATTGGAAAGTTCGTGCTTTTTTTGTTTTTTTTATAAATTTTGAATAAGACAACATAGTAGATTGCACAGTATGTGCCTTAACCCGATGAAACAAAGATCTTCAAGAGACAGCTAATTAGTTTAGAATCCAGAAAGTGACTTTCGTTAAACAGGAAATTAACAGGTAATATTGCAGTGAGTTTGTGACGCTGTACGTAATCAGTGAATCTCACCCGAGAAATTTTACTGAATGGTTCGATAAAAAATTTCTAAATACTACTGGAAAATCTTTCAGCAAAAATTAATATAGTTGTGGGTGGAAATTTTGCTCGATAAGATATACATTTTTCATCACTTCATTGCTTTAATAGCCTGAAACAGTCTTGAGAAAAAGACACTTCCGCCTGGCCTAACCGAAGAGACGAGTGTGTATAGGGATCGGGCAGAGTGAAGCAAAATAGCTGAGGGAGAAAAGATAGAGGGCATTCTTACATTCGTCCACACACATAAAACAGTCAAGTATTGAGGAGTAATTGCTCTCTGGAAGTAGTGGAAAAATGAAATGATTTTAACGTTAACGTGAAAAGAAGCACGTCGAATTCTATGGAATCAATGTAAAATGCAGTCAGAAATTTTTTCATATAATTGGGAATAAATTTTATTTGTACAGCCAATGAGTACTTCCTCGTTTGCATGCTTCCAACGATGATGCAAACAATGAAAACAATGCAAGGCGGTGCGCAGCCAAAATGTGTGTGTAAGGCACATCTCCAAAAACCCAGGCAAAGTGATAATAAATGCTAGATTTTGGATGTACTCAAGGTCAGGCAAAGTGATAATAAATGCTAGATTCTGGATGTATTCAAGGTCAGGCGAAGTTGTTCTCTGTCCACTTGATAAAGAACGAAATGGATCAACTTGCCAGCAACTAAATTTCTGTTCAATTCAGTCAATTCAGTTCATTCAATCATCTTCCTCTAGAAAAAATATATTCGATGAGTTATTAACTGCTCGATTGTATAATATTTTTATGTAAGTTTAAACTTCATAACTTACACAAATCACTTTCCAAGCTTTTGCACTTACATCAATTACCATTTAACTTCTAAATCAATTACTTTATCCTTAACATTGGGGCTCTATTACTACGCAATACAACAATTAAACATCCTGCACTTCTCTTTCCAATTCCAAAATTTGTTACAAAACTACTCGAAAACGGAAATAATACCGATCGATTGGGAATGGTTGTCCGGTGGCAGCTGTCTGTGTGCATACGTATATAGGTGTGTGTGTGTGTGTGTATGTGTATGTGTGTGTCTGTCTGCCTATTCCCGTGCTGTATTGTGCTGACAGTTGGGTCATTTAACTTGAAAAGACGATGCGCTGGCTGATTGGTGAAACGTGGGAGGGAGCGTTGTTGTGATATGTAAATGTATGATTTATCAGGATGCAGTTAAACAATTGTAAGTGATAGGAGACGAAGTGCTCTGTAGTTCAATTATAATTATTTGCAATTTCAGTAATTTTACAAGTATCAAAAATTTAAAGGGATCATAATATGATGAACAATTTTTATAGGTTCACCGTTCATATGGAGAAAGAATTCAGCGAGGATTTGATGAAGGAGAAATAAGCAGAGGTAAGAGAGTAGAGAGCAGGGAGAACTTCCGTGGAAGAGTACAAATGGTTCAGAACAACCGCATGAAAAGACGAACCTCCTCTACACATTTATTCATTTCCTAATGTTTTTCCTCTTCATTGAAAAGCTAAGGCCAAACTTCACTTCAACTATAGCATTCTTCACTGGCTTAAACAAGCTTGGCAAATGTGAATTTCACAGAAAACATATTACATTCATTAACCATTGGATAAACAACGACGATTTCACTTTACAAACTACCCTTGATGGGTTTTTTTCGGTGATTATTTTTGTTGTCCAGGTTATCCTCAAGAAAAAGCATTAAGCTAGTGAGAATAGTGTAGAGTTCAAGAAACTAGGTAACTTAGATTAAGACAATAAAAGCAAACTATTAACTTATTATTGCACATAAGGACAGTTAGGTCAGAACAGTTAGCAGAGAAATCTGCAGTTTTAGTAAAATTGGAGCTCAGAATTAATAAGATATTTAGCGCCAAATTCATCTAATGAAAACCACAAAGAATAGCACATCTGCAGAATTTCTTGTACACAACTACTCCAAGGATATGAACATATTTTATGTTATCGTGCTACGTCTGCTTTCCGTAAATAATTGCATATGGTGCTATTTATAGTTGTACTGTATGGAGATGGTATGAAAAGAATGTAATCAAAAAAAAAAAACCTAGCAAAAGATGGGAAAAAGCCGATAATTGAATAAGCTAAATAATGCTTGTTAAAAATGAAAGAATGACATGAACGCAAGCTTAAAACATGGAAATGCCAACTGCAATGGAAGTTTGACTGTCAACAAAATTCAGAGCAAAGGGCTTGAAATTGATGAATAAGAAGTGAAAACAAAATTATATAAAAAAACACATGAGCTCTTTGTCTTAAGCAATATTGACAATTTGCAGTCAACAGCTATATACAGCTTTATTATTTAAAAAAAAGCCAAGAATGTCTACTGCTTTTGCTAAATTTTAAAGTACTATTGGGACTTTCGACAAAACAAACGTATACAACTTTAACTGAATCAAATAAACCATTAATTCTATTTTAGAAAAAAAATAAAACAATGTTTTCTTTTTATCTCAGTTTTATCAATTGGATGTGATAAAAATAAAAAAAGAATAAAAAATAATGGTTCATATTTTTCATTTATGCATTACTTGTAAACATTTCATTTCATTTTAATATTCCTTATGGCGAAGAATATTTTTAAATTCTTCATCATTCTTCTCTAAAAATCAAAATATTAGAAAATAATATTCAATATCCTTTTATGGATTGTTTTAACATTATGTGGTTAAATATTTGATAATAATAAATATTTCTCGAAAAAAAAGGCAAGCTAGTCAAATGAGAGTATATAAAAGAAGTGAAATTCAAGAAAACATTTGCGCACACGTCTAGTTTGAGTGATGGATGAAATAGGAGCATTCCAAAACAAAAACCTCTTTGTCATTTAAGAATTTTAAACTTCCTCTTTCAAATAAATATTCTGTAGGATATGACAGCACATAAACAACTTCAAACAGCCATCAGTCAAGCCAAAAATTCTGGTAAAAAGAAAGGAAACATGTCATGCATTAATAACATCAGGACTTCTTCTCACTTTTCCTTGAGATCTGAAACTTGAGCTTTTTTTGCACTTCTCTGATATCATTCTTTAACAGCACTTTCACCTATTCATGATAATAGCTGTGCCTTTTAGAGTGAATTATCACTTATCCTTCAGAAAAAACTGCTTTTTATAATAATACGTTTCCATTCAATAAGCCAAGCTTAAACGTATTGATTTCATTGCCCAATGGGACTCGGCATATTCAAAAAGTTCTAAATTCAAATAAGAGTGGCCTTATTTAATGAATCATCAAGCTTCATGACAGACTCAGATATTATGGAAAACTGATAGATTTGACAACGGTATTGAAGGCATAATCTACAAGAATGTCTAAAAGCTAAACTAATGATCATTGATTGCCCTTAGATTTTGGATTATAAAGAGTTTGAATTATATTCATGATACCTGTCAGACATTTCAATTAGTAATACTCATCTTGCAACTCAAACAAATAGATGAACAGATTATTAAACTGAAAGAACTTCTATAATCATAACAGCATAATAATATGAAATTTATAAAATAATTGCTGAAAACAACAATCGCTTTTAAAACAAATTAATTAATAGGAAGACAAAAAGTGGTTGATGCCACTTCCATAAATTATACAGTGGAATGAAAGGATTCGTCAGGTATTGAAGATGTAATGCTCACTTATTCATCACTGTTACTGCCAGTTCATTTTATCCTAGAGCTTGCCTGCCCTCTAATAATAGCTTCTTCGGATGGAAGAAAGGAAGCTTAGTGCCAATTTACAACCTGAATGAGTACCCGTGGCAGCTTGTATTAAAGAAAGTTCGATGAGGTTACTAAATAATAAGATTGAGATCGGAAAATGAAGAAAGAAATTCTTCTTCTTCCTTCATTTCCCATCTTTACCATGAGCAACAATGCTGCATATCATTTATTTTTAAAAAACTGCTGGTTAAACCCATGAATATGAAACATATAACAAGTTTAACTTTAAAAATTCTAAATCATATCTAAAATTTATCATTATTGTTTCTTCTTTTTTCCCTTCTTTTCCCGGTAAAATATTACGGCAATTGCCAGTCTAAGGTGTCTGTTATTTGTTGTTGGATTCAATTCTCTAGAGGATAAGAAATGCATTTTTCAAGTTATAGCTATCACTTCTATTTAAAAAAAAACAAAAAAAAAAACAAAAAACAACAGGAAATTTTTTTTCATTATTCTACATGTTTTCGCTCGAATAGCAA